ACCAAAATCTCCGGATACCAATCCGTTTGACTATTGTGTCTGGAGTATTTTGGAAAGCAAGATTGGCACTAAAAAATACAATATTGTCGATCACCTCAAGCAACCGCTTCGCCGCTCCCATATATAGTTTCGTCCGATTTTATGTAAATGGAACACCATACTGCCAATGTTAGTCCAATTGAGACAACATTTTGCATAGTGTATTGCAATTACTACAGGTTTACGTCGTTTTGTTGAAATTGGTTCAGATTTAGATATAGCTCCCATATACAGTTTCATCCGATTTTATAGAAATAGTGCACTAAACTTCCAATATTTGTCAGATTAATACAAAATGTTGCACATCGTACTGAATTAAGTCCAGTTTGACGTATGCGAAGATTTGTCGTAATCGGTTCAGATTTAGATAAAGCTCTCATATATAGTTTCATCCGATTTTAGGTAAATGATGTACCAAACTCCCAAGGTTCGTCCGATTGATACAAAATTTTGCACATAGTACTGAATTTAGTCCAGTTTGATGTCTGTGAAGTTTTGTTGGAATCGGTTCAGATTTAGATATGGCTCCCATATATTTTCGTCCGATTTTATGTTAATTGTACACCATATTGTTTTTGTTGAAATGGTTCATGCAAATTGTGCACCGAGATATTGCAGAGAGTATTGGATTGAAATCGAAATGTGTAGAAATCGGTTCAGGAAGCTATATATAAAGCTTTCATATATATTTCCATACGATGTCATGTAAATATTGTACCAAATAACATAAGTTTCTTCCGATGGAGGCGAATTTGTGCTCAACAAATTGGAGCTAAAACCATTGGCCGGAGCAGTATAGTCGGACGGACCGACCATACGATACCCTACACAACTACCACGGAACTCTAACTTTCGGCGGATTTTTATTCCGGGCATTGGTAATATTTCGTGATAGTTGCACCTTCTTGCCCGATTAGAGGTCAAAAGCACCTCTTCCTTACACTGACATATTTTCCGAATATTACTAATATTCCGTGCAGTTCTTCTAATTACTTGTCCATATTCCCTTCACCGGGGTTCTGTTTGTGCGATTCGGCTTATATCGACTCGAAAAAAAAAAAAACAAAAAAATTAAGTCTTTGGTCCACTTTCCGCCATGGGACCATAATTGCGGCCTCTGGAGCGACCAGTAAATCAGACAAAAATATAATTTTTGGTCCATTTCATCCCCTAAATATTAACCGATCTTTACCACAAACAATAGGGGTCTTCATTGGACAGAACTCATCCTACATGCAAAATTTCGTGAAGATTGGACAGAATGGACAGACGGACGGACACACATGTCTAAATCGACTCAACTAGTCGAGATATGACGGTATACATAAAGGGTCTAGCACCAATATTTCGCGGCGTTACAAAGTCTTGGGGCTGCACAAAGCTATAATACCCTGACAACATAATTGTGAAGGGTATAATAACGCGTCTTGGATTTTGTAAAATATATTCAGATGTCGATATAACCCCTATATATTTTCGTCTGCGTTTATACAATTTGTGCGCCAAGTAATTAAGGTTTCTCCTAGCGAGATAAAATTGTGGACAGCGCACTGCGCTGCAGCACATCAAATGTCGTATACCTATAGCACTAATACATAATTTTGATTGATTTCATACAAAAAGTACACCAAAGAATCCAAGTCTGCCCGATTGACATTAAATTTCCATAGATTTTAGAATGGTATGTTCACAATTTTTTTATTGGTTCGAATATCTTTGTAGATTAAAAATTTTATTTCGCCCGATTCTATCTTCCGATTTCTATCTACAGGATATTGTACAATGTGCAAATGTATTGTATGTACCCAAAGTGGTGAAGGGTATCAGGGTAGTAGGCCTCGTTCGACTTTTGAATTTTCCTTACTGATTTTTATTAATTTGAACCTATAGGCATTATTTTGCTACACCTCAAACGTTGGTCAACAGGAGAGGGGTCATGTTCCACCAGGACAACGCTAGGTCACACACATCTACAGTGAATTGCCAGAAACTTCGGGAGCTGGGAAGTTTTAAATCATCCTCCATACAGACCGGACTTGGCTCTAAGCGATTATAATCTTGTTTTTTGCATTGCAAAATTTCTTTAATGATAAAAATTTGGTATCTACGGAGGATAGTGAAAATAAACTACTAGAGTTTTTTGGTAAATAGAGAGCAGGACTTCCATGAGAGAGGTATTTAAAATTGCAAAAGTTCATACAACAAAGCGGTGCACGGTTTGGCCCAAATCGGACATTCCGAAGAATGTTAAATAAAGCCCAATAGTCCATATAAAAACCAGTAAGGAAAGTAGTAAAGTCGGACTGGGCCGACTATATGATACCCTTCACCACTTTGGGTATATTCAACAGATGTATCCTAAGATGTATCCTATCGATGCACCAATTACATAAAACCGGACGAAAAGATATATGGGAGCTACATTTAAATCTGAACCTATTTCTATAAAATCTGGACCGATTTTTACGAAACTTGGCAGACATTATTCTAGGCTTAATTCATTACGCTGTGCCAAATTTCGAGCAAATCTAACGATATATAGGGACTTTGGTGCACCATTTACCTTAAATCGGACGAAAATATATATGGGAGCTATATCTAAATCTGAACCGATTTTACTCAATTTCAATAGGGTTCGTCCCTGGGCTAAATAAGTGAACTGTGCCAAATTTCATCCAAATCGGATCATAATCACACCGTTTTGTTCCAAAAATTGAGCATTCGCGAAACAGACGGAATGTTAAATCGTTTTCAGAAAGTGATTCTTTGCAACCCAAACAATCGGACATTCCGAAGCATGTTAAATAAAGCCCTATAGTTCATATAAAAATAATGGATTTCTTTTCCCCAACCTTATGTTATATCGTATCGTATATATATATATATATATATATATATATTCGACATATATCAAAGATCATAAACACAACGTACATCTAATCTTGACATGTTTTATAAAACGAATTTAGAATCAAATTACAACTATTAAAATATTACTTAAATTTTCAAATATTTAAAGTTGGGCGTCATTCAAAGAATGAAACTAAATAGAGCACTTTTACAGGGTATTTTTTGTTCCGATTATTCTATATACTTCAACTATTTTAAGAACTTTGTATACGACAACCTTTGATTCTAGACTAAAAATTAAAAAAAAATTTGAAGCACTTCCAATCGATGAAATCAGAATTCCCCGGAACATTTGAAAATGTTTTACACATAATGTCCTTTACAACGGTAAAGGGTAGTACGAAGGTCTCTGGACGATAATGAAATAATATTTCCATTACAAGATGATAAATCATTCTTCAAGTCGGAGAGCAACATTTTTCTTCTTCAATTCGAAAATTTCTGATTACTTCGGAGATGTGACTCCTTCGGTCCTGAAAATTGATTACCGAAATAATATAGACGAAGGAGGGTATCAAATTGTCGACCATTTTCACTTGTCTACAATTGATGACGATGACAGATAACGGTATCAACGACTCTCCACATGACGAACAGCAGTGTTGAAGATGTTAAAGACGTCGAATAACAATCACACGAAGATGACGATGTTGACGGACAACAGCTATAACAACAACAAATACGACAACAACAATAATAATAATAAAAAAGAATGAGTCCAACAAAAACAATTTAGCCTAGAAAGGCATGAGGATAAAACTCATGCTAAACAGTGATGATGATGATGATACGAAACGAATGTTTGGGAGATAATGTGTGCCGCGGCGTACACACTCTTACATAAGTGTCTGAACGTTTCTCTCAACGTCAATTGGACTGTGTGTGTGTGTCGGTGTGTGCCAATGTGTATTTTTAGATGAATGAATGTAAAATAAATTGTGTTTTAAGTAAGGATAAAGGATGTGTGTGCCCAGCCGGGTATGTGTGTGTGTGTTTGTGTGTGTGAGTGTGCCATAACATTTTGAAGAGGCTCTTTCATGTGTAAATGTATGTCGTCTGTTTATTTGTCGACTTTTGTCTGACAGTCGGTCTGTTGTCCTCTTTATTTGTAGCAAATGATGAAATGCAGCAGTAGCAATTCAAACATACATACATATACACATATACATCTATACCAAAGAGGATACCCAACAACAACAACAGCATCAAGGAGAAGAAGAGAAAAAACAGAAGGACTTAACTATGTACTACTTTATATAGTGGAAGTATGTGTGTGTTTGTGTATATGTGCAAGTGTGTCTGTATGCCTGGGTGTGAGTATTTATGTTTTCTGAGCAAACCTCCGCCACTCTCGTTCGGGGTTTTCTGTTTGTTGGCTCTCATTTGGTTTGTGGTGGCAGTCGGGCCGCCACGACATGCGGTCAAATCGTATGGCAAAAAAAAGAGGAATTCCTAAAGAGGATAAAATAAACAAAAATAACAAGAACACCAAAAACAACAACCAGGGAGGCCAGAGTAACAACTGAAGTTCGTGAATATTTTGCCTCGCCTTCTTTTATTTGTATGTTGTTGTTCTCGTTTTTTATTATTATTATTGTTGTTACTGTTGTTGTAATACAAGTCAGTCAGTTGGTTTGTTGTTGCTGTTTTATTGTTTTTTTTTCTTTATTTACGGGATCATTGACACTTATCTTTGGCAGTGTTAGAGTCAAGAGGCCAACAATTCCACAGAAACGAAAAAAAAGAAAAACATTAAAAATTTATTTGCCATTAAAAGATTAATGCTTCTCTAAAAACCCGAACCGCACATAAGTAAATAATCGATTGATTTTATGATGCTTCTTCCTTTTTGGTTTTTATCTACAGCCTTTGAACACTTTGTTGGTTTGTGGCAAACACAGAAGTGAATGAACACTTCATACGTTCTGGTTCATCTTAAGAGAGGCTTAACAAACAGCCAAGACAACACCATACCAGCAGCCATAAGACCGGAAGAAGCACCACCACCCCACTGCCACAACTGCTACTGCAACTAGAAGAAGATCAAACACACGCTCACATAATGGGTGATTATCACGAGTATACGGATCAATATAAGGTGCCGGTTATTGCCAAGCTGCTGCATGCCCTGCCCCACTACAATATAACATTCCATAAAATTAATAGCACATTTCGGCCAAATGATGAGATCTATTTGGAGGTAAGTCTTGAATTTTTCAATTGCTGAATATGATTTGGAGAGCTGTAACCTCAATTAAACCCAGCTGAATTGTGTTTTCTATAAGAAGCATATAATTCAGCTTTGCTGAATAAGGTTTTCTATAAGAAAACTGCATTTAGCCTGGCTGAATAAGGTTTTCTATAAGAAAACTGCAATTCAGCCTGGCTGAATAAGGTTTTCTATATGAAAACTGCAAATCAGCCTGGCTAAATAAGGCTTTCTATAAGAAAACTGCAATTCAGCCTGGCTGAATAAGGTTTTCTATAAGAAAACTGCTTGGCTGAATAAGGTTTTCTAAAAGAAAACTGCAATTCAGCCTGACTGAATATGGTTTTCCATAAGAAAACTGCAATTCAGCCTGGCTGAATAAGGTTTTTCATAAGAAAACTGCAATTCAGCCTGGTTGAATAAGGTTTCCCATAAGAAAACTGCAATTTAGCCTGGCTGAATAAGGTTTTCTATAGGAAAACTGCAATTCAGCCTGGCTGAATAAGGTTTTCTATAAGAAAACTGCAATTCAGCCTGGCTGAATAAGGTTTTCTATAGGAAAACTGCAATTCAGCCTGGCTGAATAAGGTTTTCTATAGGAAAACTGCAATTCAGCCTGGCTGAATAAGGTTTTCCATAGTAAAACTGCAATTCAGCCTGGCTGAATAAGGTTTTCTATAGTAAAACTGCAATTCAGCCTGGCTGAATAAGGTTTTCTATAGGAAAACTGAAATTCAGCCTGGCTGAATAAGGTTTTCTATAGGAAAACTGCAATTCAGCCTGGCTGAATAAGGTTTTCTATAGGAAAACTGCAATTCAGCCTGGCTGAATAAGGTTTTCTATAGGAAAACTGCAATTCAGCCTGGCTGAATAAGGTTTTCTATAGGAAAACTGCAATTCAGCCTGGCTGAATAAGGTTTTCTATAGGAAAACTGCAATTCAGCCTGGCTGAATAAGGTTTTCTATAGGAAAACTGCAATTCAGCCTGGCTGAATAAGGTTTTCTATAGGAAGACTGCAATTCAGCCTGGCTAAATAAGGTTTTCTATAGGAAAACTGCAATTCAACATGTATGAATAAGGTTATCTATAAGAAATCTTCCATTCAGCCTGGCTGGATAAGGGTTTCTATATGAAAACTTCGGTTGAGATTGGCTAAAAAGAGTTTTCTATAAGATACCCTAAATTATCCAGCTGAATTAGGTGTTCCATGGATATTAGCCAGGCTGAATTAGTTATTTTACAAGTTATTAATATTTTCCTGTTCATTTTAGAGCCTCGGTATATTGGGATCCGTACCAGCTGCCCTGCTAATTGTATCGTTATTGGGTCTATTACTATATCTAATGACAAGATGTTGCGATCGCAAACCCCGACCTGCCCATTCTATTACAAGCCTCAAAGTGGCTCTATCTATTGTGACGGTGATGTGTTGTGCTGCCATTGGTTTAGGTAAGAAGTGACCTCGACCTTTTAATCGGATTATTTCCAATCTTCTCTTCTATTGCAGGACTATATGGAAATGATGATTTACACAATGGTCTATTGGAAGTGTTGACGGCTGGTCGAAAAGTGGACACCTTGGTTACGACGGTACGCAACCAGACATTGATTTTGGAAAATACACTGAAGAATCGCATACGACCTCAATTGGTGGAATTGGCCGATATATTCGATCAACCGGTAACAAATTCCACTGCCCTTTCCATACTCTTTGTGTCGCTGAATATTGTACAAGGCAATGTGACATTGGCCACCAATGCGGCCAGTGATATACGACGGCCCCTGACGAGTGTGACCATGACAAAATTTCTTTCGGTAAGTCCCAAAGGGGAAAGGTGTGGCGATTTTTTTATAATATCTTTGGTTTGGGTTACGTTTGCAGGAGGGTGATAAAATGGAATTGATCCGATGGCCTGGCACCGTGGCCACCTTGGCTTTACTCTTGGTATTGTGTGCAGTCCTATTGGTGGGTGTGGCCCGCCACTCCCGCTGTGCTTTGATTCTGTTCAGTGTTTGCGGTTTATTGGCTGTCACCGGCTCATGGCTAATGTCAGGCCTATATTTATCTTCATCTGTAGCGGTGGGAGATCTTTGCATTAGCCCTGCCGACTTTTTGGTTTCGGTGGCACCTCGAGATCTTCCCACAAATGTATTGCTGCATTATACCCAATGTGAACCTGGACACACTAATCCCTTCACCCAACGTCTAAGAGAATCTCAAAATTCGCTTAACAATGCTCGCAGTGCAATGGCTACGGTTATGAAAATATCTCTTGTCCTGTTTAAGTCCTCGGGTCTGCAACCGAAATTAGGAGCTGTCAATGCCGATTTGAATAGCAGCGAACGTTTGCTCACCCAACTGACAGCCTTGGTCGATTGTAAAACGGTGCATCATAACTTTTTGGCTGCCTCACGAGGTCTATGCGAGGGCGGCCTACTCGGATTGGTCCTAATGCTCATTGCCAGTTTTATTGCTGCTATTTTGCTCACAATTATGGTTTGGGTAGACTCACACACATGGATCTATATAAGGAAGCGCAATGATTATGCTCAAGTCGACGAGCCGTCGTACATATCCCACCCGGCCCCGCAGAATCACCAGCAAATGTTGAATGCCTCACGAACACTGCCAAGAAATCACAACGGGTGAGCTCAATAAATGAGAGTGATTTTATTTAAATTCTGGTTGCAATCTCTTTACAGGCACTTTAGTCCACCGGTGATTAGTGGTTTGCACACCCTGCAGCATCCATCGAAGCGTCAGCAGCACGAGATGATGGCTCACGTACACATGCAGCAGAATATGAGGGCTATGGGCACGCATACGCTGGGTCGTTTGCCGTCGCACAATCATAGCCCCACACACCTGACTGGTAAGTTGGAATGCGATGATCGCGCTCGCTGTCTCTCATTCCCATGTAACACTCTCTTTCTCCATCTCGCTCTGTACTACACTTTTCACGGGCATGATAATTATACTAGATTTCCTTTCGTTTTGTGTCGATGAAATGTGTTTGCTTATCTTCCCCCTTTCCGTTTCTTTTAGGCCCTAATAACGGTAAATATGCAACTTTAAGCAAACAATGCAAAACTTTGGAAGCAAATGATTTTTACTGAAAATCATCATCAGTCTGTAGCGATCCCAACCGAAGTCAACAGGCGACGTCTCAACAGCAGCAACAATCCCAGATGGCTCCACAACCAATATATTGTCACCATCCTCATCCACATCCTCACTCACACGAAGCGGCAGCAGCAGTGGCCGCTGCCCAACACCAGCATGCCATCTATCATCAGCAGCAGCAACAACAACAGCAGTACGGCACCTATTCCACAGCTGCTCATGGACAACATCATTTGGTGGCGGCCGGACCACATGGACCGCAGAGTCAAATCTATCAACAAATACCACCGCATATGGGTCCGATGGCTCAAAACGGTGGCCAAGCCAATCCACATTCCATATATCAGCCATTGGTTGCGGTCAGCCAGGGTTCGATTTATGTCTCAAATTTGGCCACAATGCGGCGACAGAACTCCCAGCAAAGTAATGCGGGACATCCACAGATACCCGGACATCATGGCATGTCACAGCAACAGGGTGGGGGCCGCATGCCACCCACGTCACATCATCAAACGATGAGTGTGAAATCCCCACAAGATGGCATGCGGGATCCATCCCGTTCTGAGGCAATGGATACGGCTATCTATGATCGTGAGAAGGGTATTTACAAGTGTTCAACACTGCGGCAGGGTGGTAAATTTGATCCCAAATATAAGCCATCGATTTTGAATTGTCCACTGCCAGAAATACCTAAGGATGCAGATCCACCCAGTGTCGAGTCGATATATGAAAAGCAACGACAACAACAGCAACAGAATTATTCGAAGTAAGTGAAAAAAGTATTTAGAGTAATATCCAATCATAATTCAGCTGAGCTGAATTGCAGATTTTTTAAAGAAAACATAATTTAGCTACGTTGAATTGCAAATTACCCAGGGAAAATGAAATTTAGCCAAGCTGAATTGAAATTTGTCTATAGAAAATCTTATTCAGCCAGGCTGCAATGAACATTTCCTTTAGAAAATCAAATTCAGTCAGGTTGAATTGAAGATTTCCTATAGAAAGCCTTATTCAGCCAGACTGAATTGAAGATTTCCTACAGAAGAACTTACTCAGCCAGGCTGAATTGACGTTATCCTATGGAAAACCTTATTCAGCCATTCTGAATTGAAGTGTCCTTATGGAAAACCTTATTCAGCCTGGCTAAATTGAAGATTTCCTATAGGAAACCTTTGTCAGCCAGGCTGAATTGAAGATTTTCTATAGAAAATTTCATTCAGTCAGGCTGAGTTGAAGAATTGAATTGAAAATTTTCTTATAGAAAACCTTATTTAGCCAGGTTGAATTGAAGATTTCCTATATAAAACCCTATTCAGCCAGGCTTAATTGAAGATTTCCAATATAAAACCTTATTCAGCCAGACTGAATTTAAGATTTCCTATAGAAAAACCTTATTTAGCCAGGCTGAATTGAATATTTCCCATAGAAAAACTTATTCAGCCAGGCTGAATTGTTTTTTTTTAGAGAAACCCGTATTCAGCCAGGCGGAATTTAATTTTTTTTTATAGAAAACCGTATTCAGCCAGGCGGAATTCCTGATTTTCTATAGAAAACCTTATTTAGCCAGGTGGAATTGAAGCTTTTCTATAGAAAACCTTATTCAGCCAGGATGAATTGAAGATTTCCTATAGAAAGCCTTATTCAGCTAGGCTGAATTGAAGATTTCCTGTGGGAAATCTTATTCAGTTAGGCTGAATTGAAAGATTTCCTATGGGAAATCTTATTCAGTTAGGCTGAATTGAAAGATTTCTTCCTTTTCTGTAGGAAAACGATGTTGATTGTTTATTATAATTATTTATAACCTGTTCTCTCTCCCTTCTTCTTTTCAGAACTCTTCAAAGACCACCAATGAAATTGCCCCCACAAATGAAAGCAATACCACCACCACGAGTTGGCACACCCAATTCACCACCACCTCCACCTGAGAACACCGACAATGGTGGAAATAATCTACCCAAACCCTATAGCCATCAGAATGGTGGCAATACCATGAACATGGGTAACGGAGGAGGTGGTGGAGTGGACACATCTAGCACTGCCACCACAAATACTACCAATACGAATACAACAACAACAAATGTATCCGATACAAATCGTCAAATGAACAACGACGCATCACTGCCACCACCGCCGCCCTTGGATACACCAGAGGACACGGGACCCAAATCGAATAATATAATGCATCACAACAACAACAGCACAAACAAGAATAACAGCGCACAGCAACAACAACATATGAACGATGAAGATGATCTGCCCCCGCCACCACCACCGCCAGCAATGAACGACGATTCTAATTATGCGGTAACGGAACTTTAAAAGAATGTAACCGATGTATCTGTCAACAACAAAATGAGAATATCAACATTCAGCATGAGTGAGTGATCTGTGAAATATAGATGGCGTTCATGCGTTAGAGACACAAAACAAATAGAGAGCGAGAGAGAGAGAGATAGAGAGAAGTTAAAACTCACGCCTCCCCCTTAGGAAAACAAAGCTAAAACAGAAAGTTGTGGTAACATTTTTTGTAGTTTATAGATAATTTAAAAATTAAAACCAAAGGATTTTTTGTAGCAATAATATTTAAAAAAAAATGAGATGGAAGTAGAAGAGAAACTACACTAAATAAACACACAGACACACAACTTTACATAAAATCGGTTATCCTGGGAAAATCGTTATTCTATTGATTTACAAAGGGAATAATAGAAATCCTTGGTTAAAGGATTTTTAATTCTAATTGGATTCAGGATCTTATGATAAAGACACAAACACACACAATGACACTCACTACGGACGGGTGATCATCCATTTTTTTTTTTTTTTTTGCTTTACAAAAGGAAGAAAAGGTAGCACAAAGAAATCTGGCATAATACTAGTCATATCGCATATAATTTTAAGGATTTTTTTTTTTTTTGAAATTCCTTTCATTGAGTTTCAAATGAAATTTTCCTAAAATTTCAAATCAGATTTCAACAACACCATCACATTCATGTACATTAAACCAACAAATACAAAAACTAATTTAATTTATCCAAAATTTTGAGACATTACCAAGAGTTACAGGCTGATACGAAGACAACGCACTAATTCAGCATAATTATTGTCAGCATCATCATCTGATCTGTTGTCACAGATCAGACTATTTGTAATATGTTTGTAGATATATTAATTTATAATTAAAAAACAAAACAAATATCCTTTTATTCATAAAGGACATGTACAAATCATAAATTTAACGAAAAAAACTAAATTATTCAATATCAAAATGCATACATTAAAATACACACTCATACATACATATTTTTTTAGATGGATCCCAACCCAATTTATAATGGAAACGGTGCTACCAGTTTTTGGTTCAAATTATATTGGAGAATATAGGGAATTAAATATTTTATTTTCGCGGGGAAAATGTTAAGTAGATTTGATTTAAGAAGCATTTCACCACATGGCGCCCAACATAACACAGAACAAAATTATTCTGAAACATTTTACCAGAAATATAATTAACCCCACGAAATCTTATAAATTTTTACATAAATGATTCGGAAAAACTTGAAAAATATATGGGAACTTCTTAGTGGTTTTATATCTACAAAATTTAAAATACGACAAGAAAACGAAAGATTTTTCTTATACGACGTACTATGAACTAGACAAAATGAACTATGCACTGGTTCCAGTTTCACTCTAAGGAACTCCAATAATGCCAACATAATTTATTGGAGAAAAAAATAAACAAATATAAAACAAAATAAACAAATACATATGTTTTACAGAAGCAGTAAATACAATTTTAAATCATTCGGGCGCCACTTTCGAAAATAGGAAGAATATAGAAATGGAGGGAATTTCAGAGGTAGCAGCATTCTCGTACCCTGATACTGAAATGACACCCAATGAATCATATTTCAAAAATGTAGTTACAAAGAATCAGCCGGCTTTGCGATATCCTGTTACCTATACATATATGTATACATTCTCTCATTTCTTAGTTCCTTTTCGGGACTGCGGAATCAGAGTCCATCAATTATATTGTCCGCATGAAATCAAGGACTTTTTCACTTTTTATGAGGTACCATGGGAAGTGAATCATTGGGTACAAACTTCGGACTAATTATAGTTTTTAGTAAACTTAAAAAGTTGATCTTTCCATCGAATTCGTGGCATCAATAGGCTCGCTTTTATATGCCTTTTGTACTGGGTCATCCTCATCCACTCGCACAACATGGCCTAGCCACTGTCGTCGCTGCAGCACGATACGGCTGACTATGTCGATGTCCGAGAATAGGTGATACAACTCATGGTTCATTCGACGGCGATATATATCATCAACGCAGATCGGCCCGTAGATTTTGCGGTGAATTTTTCTCTCGAACACTCCAAGAGCTGCCTCATCTGCTTGCGCAAATATCCTTGCTTCTGATCCATACACCAGCACGGGTAGTATCAACGTCTTGTAGAGTGTTAGTTTGGTCTGGTGAGAGGTGGCCTTGTTTGTAAACTGCTTACATAGACGATAGTAGCATCTTTGGCCCAACCTGATGTCATTAGTTTTATTTATGGCGGTACCGAGGTATATAAAATCTTTGACTACCTCGAAGCTATAGTTCTCAAGTTCCATAGTTAGTCCGAGTCTACTGGACGTCTTGCGCGTTGATGTTATTAGCTTGGTCTTCCCGTCATTTACTGCCAGACACAATTTGGCAAACACCTTCATAATTTGTTCAAAGGTGTCTGCTACAGCTCTTAATGTTCGATCCATTATGTCGATGTTATCGGCGTAGACGAGTAATATGTGTTGTTTGGTATACAGAGTTCACCTTTGCCTCGTATGACGATGTTAAAAAGGTCATACGAGAGGTTGTCACCTTGTCTGAACCCTCGTTCGTTATTAAAGGGTTCCGAGAGGTCCTTTCCGACTTTAACTTCTTACCTTTCAGTTATCCTACATAGCCGAATTAATTTAGCAGGAATACCGAACGCAGACATGGTTTTAAACACCTCTGAAGACCTACCGCTCACCCTTTTCTTGTTCTTTCTTCTTTTTTCTGAAAATACGTTTCTACTACTGACTGTTGTGTTTGCAGCTGCTACATTAAGATGAGTGTGAACCTTGGCTGCTACAAGGTATTGTTCGGAATTGATATTCGCTCCTCGGATCGATCGAACGCCTAAAACACTGGATGAATGCCTTCCATCTATCACAACATGATCGATTTGATTTTTCGATGTTTGATTGAAATAAATTAAGATAACCTTTTGTATATTGAGATGCTTGAATTTGGCGCTGCTAACTACCATGTTTTTTTGCTGCCGCGAAGTCAATCAATCTCATGCCGTTGTCTGATGTTTCTTCTTGGATTCTCTCTTTCCGATTCTCCTAGCAGAATTTATCAGTACAGCTGCAATATGCTGTTTCTTGGCGCTCGTAAAAAATGTATTTGGTCTGCTAGTCTTTGTCTGTACCTGTTCTGTACAACGTGCTTACATTCCAAGTGCAGATTCGCAGATCGTGGTCCTTGATACGTTTGCGGGGTCGTCAACATTAGGGGGGTTTATTTTTCCTTTTCTTTGCCTTTTAATAGTAGGATGGGGTTTTCCGAGTGTGGGCAACTAACCCCCGACGCCTCAACACATTTTTTTATCTGCTCGCTATCTGCTACCACAGGTGACACCGTGGGGAGGTCAGTGTTCGCAATTGAGATGAAAGATGGACCAAGATAAGCCTGGGCTTTGCCATGTTAAAGTCAATCAGTGTCGTTACTTGGTATCTATAAGATATGAAACCATCTTGATATATGACCTATCTACGAGCTGTAAATGGCTTTCAAAGTTTGGATCAGACGCGGATTTAGTCCAAAGAAACATGGGGTCTAAACTCGATATTACCATTTACACACTTGTCTAGTGTATCCTTAAAAATGCAGCGTACACATAGCAATCCTGATGTTAATCCAAGTATGTACTATGACAAAATGGCGCCCAACGTTTTCATTTGGAATGCAATGTCTAAAGTTTATATTCACCATAGTCTAAAAAATGGCGCCCGACGATGTGTGACGATAAAAAACAAGTAAAAAGGGAATTATGTTCGGCCGGGTCGAACTTTTTATAGCCTTCACTGACAATTTTGTATATTAAACTTCAGTGACTTCTGATGTAATGAATAATTGGCGGGATCATAATATAAGGAATATACCAAAAAGTGGACCTGTGTTTGTTAGTTCCCTATCTACTCCTTCAATATTCATTGAATCGATAATGGTAGCATTGAAACTGGTAAGAACAACAGAAAACAAAGCTAACATTTAATAACAAAAAACTAAACACAAAGAACAACAACAATTTTTAGATAAATGTACTTAAAAGTATACTTTATGATATAAAGAAAACAACAACAACAACCAAAAAACAAACAGAACAAAACAAAGAAAATATATTAAGGAATTAAAACAAAGAAATGTATTGCATTTATATAAGTTGGAAGTTTCGATTTTTACATTTTTTGAATTTCGAATTTTATTATATATATAAATGAATTATTATTATTATATTATATTTATTATACAAAACAAATACAATATATATTAATAATAAATGAAATACAAAAACAGCAAAGAAAAGGAAACAACAAATGAAATGAAAAGACATAACCAAAAATATATAAACGAATTAATTACAACAACAAGAAGAAAAATTATATATTGTAAATGCTAAATATTAGTAATAATAAAAAGAGAAAAAAACTATAAAATAAATTAATTGAAAAATAATAATAAATTAATAACAATAGAGAGGCAAAAGTGAATTCCAGTGGTCAATTTGACTTTGGAATTGATTTTTTCTTACTATTCAGAAAAAGAAAAGAAAACCTAGAAATAATTTGTGTGTTTTTTGATTTTAGTTTCCAATAAATCAGTTTTTGTAATTTTTGTTAAATAAATGTGTTATTATTACGTATCATATTGTAAAATTACTACTTAAGTCTTAAAAAATAATAAAAACAAAAAAAAAATAGTAATTAAAAAAAAGTAAAAACAAAAACCACAAATAAATTTAAAATTTATATATAAGTTAAACTAACAGAAAAAAACAACAAAAATGTCAGAAAAATATTCAAAATTCAAAACCCCCCCAGACATACATACAGTTGCAGTTAGGCCGACTATCTCTAACAGAAAAAAGGACACCTCACGGAAGAATTCAATCAATAGAAAGAAAGAATTGCAAAAGAAAAATTTACTATGGACACCAAAACAATTTCAGAACACCATCACACGAAAAAGGACGAAGAAACTACTAAAATCTAAATG